GGGTGCAGTGTCGTCTTTCCCGGGGCCACCTGGGAGACTAGAGGCTGTATCTGAAACACCATTTGCCCCCAGTCTGTCCATAAACGGAGCAAGGGTCCGTGGATCCTCAGAGGCCTGCTTGTGCCCAAGAGCTTGTGTGCATGTGTGTGACTTTAGACCGAGATCTGGGGGTTGTTTCAGAGACTTCTGGCACATTTCCATGTGCCTTTCTGAATCCGGCTTTGGGTGATCAACGTGGTCAGGTAGTGGCCCCTCGGTGGGGCTGACTTTATGAGTCTGTGCTCTGTTCAGCGCTCGGGATGATCTCGTGAAAGTGTTCCTGGCTGTCAGCTTCAAAGGGCTCCTTGATGCTCCAACACCAGCTTGGCAGCGCGGGCAGGACCCACCGCGGTCCCCTCAGTTCACGGCAGGGTCAGGTGCTGAGGCGTGCACAAGGACAGCAGGCCTAGGGGCAGAGTCCTCTGCGTAGCTCTCCCCTGAGTGAGGAGAAGACTCCCACAGATAGGTGAAAAATGGTGTTTTCGATACTCTTAAAAACCAAAGCAGTACAATTGTTCTGAAGGACTCAAAATTATTTTTATTGCATCATTTTTTATCACAGTCGAGTTGGTTTACAGCACTGTGTATGATGTAGGGGCACAGGTTCAAACTTCTTCGGGGACATGTTCCTGTACCCACTGCCAAAGCCCCCAGAGTCCTCCACCATTGAGCCCTCCAGCCCCCTCCCACTGAAGCCTCAGTTCTAGGGTTTGTTTCTGTTTAGTTCTGTGTGTTCCTTTATTTTGTTTCTCTATCTTCCACATGAGTAAAATCATCCGGGATTTGCCTCTTTCCTGACTTACTTCACTTAGCATCGTCCCCTCCAGCACTGTCCATGTTGTTGCAGATGGCAAGAGTTCATCTTTTTTTACAGCCGAGTAGTATTCCATTGTGTATAGGTGCCACTTTTATCTATCATCTGTCGCTGGGCACTAGGGTTGTGTCCGTGACTTGGCTGTTGTGTACAGTGCTGCAGTGAGCTCAGGAGAACATTGCAGCCCAGGAGAACTAATGGTTTCCCATAGGGTCTGGACCAGTAGCATTCCCACCAGCAGTGCACAACGGTTCTTTTTTCTCTATGTGCTCATCAGCTTTGGTTTCTATTTTCTTCCTTCCTTTTATTAATGGGCCATTCTCACCACCATTGAAAAAAGTTTTGCATCTTCTTCCTCATGTTGCTCCAATGGCAAATATCCCAACAATTTAGCAATTTTTGAAAAATAAAGAGAAGTGTGTCAGATTTCTTGGAGCATTTCCCTACACAGAGAAGCCTCCAATTTAAGAAGTATGATGACCACGTCTCCTCCTCTGGAAATGAGCCTGTGAAAGGGAAGCTGGAGCTGTTGGGTCTGTAGAATGACTCGTGAGGGATGAAGCAGGTGGCTGAGGCTCACAGCTGCCCACCCTGCTGTGTCTCTGCGGCCAGCGAAGGGAGAGCAAATCTGAGAGTCAAGCAAGTCTTATGTCTGCGGTGTGGGGAGAATCTGCTCCCTGGCGCTGTCCTTATTTCTGGCAGGGTGGGGAAAGACTCAAATGTCAAAGGCCAGAGGGGATGCTGGTGCCATTTAGGAGAGAGAGGGTCATCCCTCTGGCCATTCAGGGACTTTCTTCAGTGCTAGAGGTGGGCCCACAGTCAGAATGTTGGAGTGAAGCACCAGAATCAGGGTGCCTGCTGCTCCCTGGAGGCCGTGTCTCTAGGAATGAGAATGCTGGGGTAAGCAGTGCAGGGGGAAGCCCGCTCAGAATCCAGCTGCATGGCAGCAGAGCCAGGAGGAGCAAGGCCTGAGGAGGACAGAGGAGAAGGGCATGCGGAGGCAGACAGGGCTTTGGCTGACAAGCACCCAAAGGGGCTAGGTGCCAGCTCGTGAGCTGTTCCCCCCTTATCAGAATGTGCTTCTCCAGGTCCAAGCATACAGGACGCTCTTAAAGAGCTCTAACTCTCTGACATGAGCCCCGCCTCAGGAGGGAACAGTCCATCCTAGATTTGCCAGCCTCAGGCTATCTGTGTCCTACTGGCACCCAGCTGGCAGGCAGCTGCCCTCTGCAAAGTGGCTGTGGTCCTCCCTTTGCAGAGGCTCGTGCTCAGGGGCAGAGGGCTTACTTTTCATCTGCATAGCACATAGATTGTGGACCAACGTTCCCCCGGTGAGAGGCTGAGGGAATCTTGCAGTTGGCCAAGGAAGGGCTTGTCTCTGGGGTCCCTGGGGTCTGACGTGGGGCACTTCCAGTGTGAGAATTCTCTGCTGGGTGGCCCCAAGCGGGTGCTCTCTGACCACCTCCCCACAGGATGGGGGGTGGGGACCAAGTCTCCAAGGGACTCCATCATTGGCCTCGGCACACAGTGAGTGAGAAGCAGGCTGGGGGGCTCTGTTCTAATCACTCAGACCTCCAAACCATTCCCTGACTACATCCTGGCTCAAGCCCCCCGAGAGAGCTCAGAGAGAGGGTCCCAAATCCAGGAAATGTGTGAGACAGGCACCGACCGAAGGACCGGCCAGCATCTTTCATGTTCTCATTTTCCCTGTTGAAATGACTTCTTTGGAGCTTATTAGAATGTCAGGTTTCAGGGGTGGTGGCTTTAAATGAGTGTCTCTGGCATCAAGTCTGGAATGGAAGCATTCAGGCCCGTGCCGTGTGGGAGCTGGGTCACGGGGCCCTCTAGCACCTGTGAAAGCCACGGAGGGGCCCAGTGAAGACTAGGGTGGCAGCTAAGAGAATGCCCAGCGGGGGCACCACCCAAGTCAGGTGAGGGGACCCCACTCTGGGGTCTCTGCCATCCCACGGGCAGCCTGCCTGAGGCCAGGAGTGGGCTGGAGGGCAGCAGGCTGGCACAGAGGGCTGGGCCGGGTGGCCTCAGCAGACGCCAGGCTGCGAAATGACAGGACACATACCTGTCATGCTCCAGATCTCCTTCTGGGGGGAGGCGGGGGTCACCTTATAGTCTCAGCGATCCCGAAGATAACATCGCTCCTGTTTCCTCACCTGCTGCCACCCCGGGGCATTACAAGGACCCTGGCAAAGGCTCTGTCCCGCTGCTTAATAGGATCTGCCCAAGGGACAGCTTTCACTGTCTCCGCTTGGTCAGAAGTTGGCAGCGCCACTCTGGGAAGTCCCGGAGGCTCTGCTTCCCCACACCCGGCTCTCCGTGGCATCGATGCTGGGGCTCTCCCAGCATAGCCATCTTCAGAAACCCCGTCTTGCGGTCTGGCACTCCTGGGCGGCAGCAGCCTCTTCCCCACCCCCCATAGCTTCCTGCCTTGAGGTGTCCTTGCAAGTGAGGGGTCAGTGAATAAGTGTCCTTCGATGCCAAGGGCCCCAACCAAGCTACAGGCCCCCCGAGATATGTGGTCCTCCCCACGCTATTTCTGGCTCTGCCTTACAAGGAACTAGCGAAATGGCCCAGGCACTAGAGGATGCGCAGGAGGAGCAGACAGCCGCCTCTCCCCTCTGTATTTTGAGACTTCTGCTGGGAGGAGAAACATGGAGGCGTGCAACGAAATGAACAGGGCAGTCTCGTGATAATCTGAACGGGCCTTGTCACAGCCTGACGGCCCGGCTCCGCGCGAATGTATTCAGTCTGTCTGCAGAATCAGTCAGGCCTGGAAAGTAGGGGGGCCACCGAGGTGCAGAAAATAAGTGTGCAGATCATCTTTTGGAGAAAGGTGTCTGCAATGGATGTTCCTTTGACGAAGGAAGGGTACGTGGCTGCTATGTGAGAAGGACAGAGCCGAGACCTACATGCTCTGTAGGTCAGGGCCACCCTGCGACCACGGCCCTCCACCCCTGGGAGCCGCAGGTCCCCTCCCTCGGACTCAGGGAGGCGGCTCCTACAGGGGAGCAGCCTTATCAGAGCATGCATCTTTCTTAGCAGCCAGTGACTTATCCCTGAACCCTCCTTCCTTGGAGGCAACTGTGCCCAAGCGCAGATCCCTTTTCCAGACGCGTCCCAGACGGATCTGGCGGAGGGAGAGGCCTCGTGGCAAGGGTTGAACTGTTTCCCCTGGGAACTGTCTGGCAGCCCTAATGAGGAATAGCACTTTGCATTTATAGAGGGCCTTTCATCTGCGGCTCTCAAAGCAGCTCCACAAACATTAATTAACTCTCACACCTGTGAGGCAGGTGAGTCTGGTTACCCCCATTTTTAGAGATGAGGAAACAGAGGTTTGAGAGGAAAAGGCCTATGAGGAGCCACCAGGGAGGGGAGCAGCATTGAGTCAGGAGCCAGCATTCCTGCATGCCCAGGGCCCCTGACAGCAAAGCTCCAAAGCCTCCCCAAACTTTTCCGTCCCGTGGTCTGTGTCCCAGAGGCCGCGTCGGTGGAGGGTGCAGGCCCCACAACCTCGCTCCCTCTATCCTCGCTCCCTCTGGCGGGCATCCTGCCACGGGATCCTGTACACCCCGAAGGCCTTTCAAAGGCAGCAGCCCCAGGCTGGTCTCTGCCCCGGCTTGGTGCTGGATGCTTCCCTTCAAAGTAATTGCTGGAACAATGAATGCATCTTAGCCGTCCATGACTAACCAAGATGTCTGCAGCAAGCCGGAGACAAACGGTTGGCAGATGCCAGCGCTATTTCACAACCTCTGTTTCCAGGATCTGGAGCTGGTGGGAACTGACTCACGTTATCATGGGATTTCACTGATAGCCACAAGGTGCTAATCCAGCATTGGCTACCTGGGCGCGTAGGTGACTGCCAGCCCCAACGTGGGGGGCTGCGGCCGTTTGAAGCCCCGTGCAGCTGCAGCATCTCAAAGACAGTGGAATGGTCTGGGACATGCCTCTTTAATGGCAGAGAATGACCCCAGGGAAGCTGAGATCACACAGTTCTGAAGGTCATGAGAGGCAATCCGGGGACACCCCTTTTTGTATGCAGGGGAGCCCAGTTCTTGGCCCCGGGGGTCCGCAGGGGGAGATGTAAGCCAGTGCTGGGGCTCGCCCTGACACATCACCCTGGAAACTGACTCACGTGTCTGAGTCCTGAGTCACATCCTGTTGTGTCTTCGAGAGGCATTACACCAGCTCCCCGGGCCTGAGGTGACCCTGGAGGGCACCCCGGAAGTGCCCGGCTGCCTTCCAAGCTGCAAAAGGGAAAAAAACTCTTCTAGGGAAAAAACCAGGGCAGCCCCAAGGGTTTATAAATTATATGTTCACTAACCAGGATTGGGGTGCGAGGGCCTCATGACCCCGCATAACCGTCTGCTCTGTATTTAAATGACTTGGAACGGAGGCTGAAGACCTGTCTTTTGAGGGATCAGCTGAAAAACCAAAGAAAATCCTTTCTAAGTATATCAACCAAAGTGGAGGCGTGGAGACGCGGCGCCCTGCCACCCTTCTACCTGGCGCCGCAGAGGAAGAGGCCCTTTGCGTAGAGGGTGGGATGAGAAAGCCCCCAGTTCCGGGTTGCCCGAGGAGAACCAAGGAGGCTGGTGGGAACGTGAAGACAGAGCAGGGTGCTTTAAATGTTTCTAAGGCCAGCTTTTGTCTTCATCTGTCTTTATTGCTTTCCTGACATTTCACTGATTTCAAGTCCAGTTATTATTTCTTTCTGCTTGCTTTAGGTTTATCTATTGTTCCTTTTTGTCTCATTTCCTAAGGTGGGAACTCAGGTTATTGATTCTAGATCTCTCTTCTTTTCTAATATATGCATGTTTTGTATCACTCTCAGCCTATTAATAATAACGCTCCTGGCTGAGCTGCCTCGGGGCACACACCTGGGCCTGGGTGAGTTTCTCATAGGTTTTCCCCTTTGAAGCCACTGCTAGTATTGGACCACCCCTTGTAGTTCCTATTATGACTAAAGAAATCCCTCAGCAGTAACCATCAGGAAACTGAAAAAATAGGCTTGTTACTTACAAGACCTGGAAATTATAACATACCTGGGCCACAGTGACATGGGAGGTAGAGAGAGCTGGGACCTAGGGTGTTCCTTTTACTGGGGCTAGCAGGGCAAAGAGGGTGTTGGGATTTCACAGGCTTACTCTTTATTGGTACATTCAAATCTGAGAAGCAGGGAATTTAAAGCATGAGAAGAGAGACAAAAGAAGGGAAAGGAAAAGATAGAAATCTAAATCAACCAGGATCTGTAAAACAAAGGAGCCTCCATGGAGTGGCTTGGCCCTTCCATGCTTGTGGCTGCCGTGTGTGTGTGTGTGTGTGTGTGTGTGTGTGTGTGTGTGTGTGTGTGTGTGTGTCGGCACTCTTTGAAATGGATGCCCCTTTTGATATGGATGCTTCCGCATCAAGCTTGACTCAGCCAATTGCATTACAAAGATGAAAAGTCAACTCTGGGAGCTCACCATGAAGAGCATTCAATGCTATAAATGTCCCTCTAAAAACTGCTTTGACTGCTCTATTCCACAAATTATAAGTTGTATTTTCATTTTTGTCTACATACTTTTTGATTTCTCTTGAGAATTCTTATTTGATTCATGGGTTATTTAGAAGTATGTTCTTTAAGCTCTAAATATTTGGGGATTTCCCAGCTGTCTTCTGGTTATTGATTTTTTTTTTTTTTTTTTTTTTTTTTTAGTTTACATCCATGTGGCCCTGAGAAAACATTTTGTATAATTTTATCCTTTTAGATTTGTTATGGTGTTTTATGGTGCAGCTTTTATTGGCCTATCTGGTGAATGTTCCCTGTGTCCTTGAGAAGAATGTGTTCTCTTGCTGTTATTGGACAGAGAATTCTATAAAAGTTAATTACATCAAGTTGGTTGGCAGCATTCAGGTCAACATGCCCTAATTATCTGCATGCTTGACGTAACAAATACTAAAAGAGGAGTATTAAAGTCTTCAACTCTCATCGTGTATTTTTCTATTCATCCTTGCAGTTTGATCATTGTTTGCATCATGTTTTTGATACTCTTGTAAGGCGTATATATGCCGAGGCTATTTAGATCTTAGAGAATTAATTCCTTTATCATCATGTAAAATTCTCTTCCCTAACCCTGAAATTTTTTTCTTTCTCTGAACTCAGTTTTGTATAAAATTACTACAGCTTCTCTACCTTTTGATTGATGTTCATATGGACTCTTTCTCCACCCCTTCACTTCTAACCTGAGTCTTTATATTGAAAGTAGACTCCTTGCAGACCACATAAGGTTGTCTTGCTTTTAATCCACTCTGACAATCTGCCTTGATGTGTTTTACATCATTCACATTAAAGTGATTATTAATGCAATTGGGTTAATATTCTATGAATAACTGTTTTATATTTGTCACACTTCTTTCATTCTCCTCTTTTTCTGCCTTCTCTGGTTTTAACTGAGAGCCTTATATTATTTCCATTTTATCTCCTCTTTTGGCATTTCAATTCTACTGTAAAAAAATCATAGTGGTTGTGCTAGAGTCTTGTGTAACAAATGTAAATCACCATCCAATAACACTGCACCAGCTCTTCCGTCCCATTTCTGTCAGTATTATCACCATTTCATTTATCCATGTAATAATCACCTACTACATTATTACTATCATTTTAAATTGTTGTAGAACAATCGAGATGAAAAATAAGACTTTATTTTACCTTCCTTAGTTGCTTCTCTGCTGTTCTTCCTTTCTTTATATAGATCAGTGTCTGACCTATGTGAGTTTCCTTCTCCCTGAAGACTGTCTTCAATGTTCTTCCAGGGGAACTCTGCTGGAGATAAATTACTTTAGTTTCTGCTTGTCAGAGAATGTCATTTCCCCCTCACCTTAGAGGGAAATCAAGAATTATAGGTTCCTCTAGATTAGTGGCTTTTTCTTTCAACACTTTAAATATTTACTCCAGTCTCTTCTTGGATCATTTCATAAGACAAAGTTGTTCCCTCCTAACAAGGTGTTCTCTATGTCCTCAGTTGGAATACCTAAGTATAGACTATGTGATATTTAGCCTGCCTGGTATACACTGAATGTCCTGGATCTGTAGTTTGGTGTCTGTCATTAATTTTATGAACTTTTCAGCTATCAATACCTCAAATGTTTCTTCCATTCTTGTGGTCTCTTCTGTCAGCTTCTGGTATTCCAATTACGCATGTTGTACTTTTTTTAAATTGTCCCTAACTTTGTGGATATTCTGAGGTTTTTGTGTTTCTTTTTATTCTCCTTTTAGCTTGGGAAGTTCCTATTCACATATTTTCAAATTCTTTCATTCTTCCCTCAGCTATGTCCAGTCTTTGGATGAGCCCATCAAAGGTATTCTTCATTTCTATGATAATGCTTTTCATTTCTAAAATTTCCTTTTAGTCTTTCTTAGGCTGTCTCTCTCCCTGCTTACATTACCCATCCGTTCTTACACATTGTCTTCTTTTTCCATTAGAGCCCTTAGCAATAATAATCATAGTTAAATTCCCTGCAGTTCCAAAATCAGAGCTCTGAGTCTCATTCTGATGCTTGCTTTGCCTCTTCAAGCTGTGTTTTTTCTTGTCTTTTGGTGTAACTTGTTAATTTTGTTTCCAAAAGCTGGATGAGCTGTATCAGGTAATAGATATTGAAGTAAATGGGCTTTTCATATAAGCTTTATGTTCAGATAGCCAGGAGTTGAGCTGTGTTTAACACCCACTGTAGTTGTAGGTGCCAGAGGCTTTATATTATTCTCATATCCTTGTTTTTGTCTCCCTTTTGCCTTTCGGCTTCCCTAAGAGTTCCTCCTTAAATAGTCTTGCAGCTCTTTTAAGAGTCACCCACTATTACTACAGTGGATCCTGTGAGAACCTGGTGGAGTTCCTGAATGCAAACCCACGAACATGTACCCCACTCCCACCTCCCAACACACACACGACCACAGCCCCGAGTTTCTTACTCTGACACTAATCTATATGTAGTCTCCTACAGTTTGTCAAAATTACCATCTCAGTGTTTCTACTAGTTTACAGCTCCAGTGGCATCTGCTCCAGTGAGCAGACCTCAATGTGACTTTTCTGTATTCACCTGTTCTCATGAGGTCGGTGTGGCAGTCTGCCCTGCCATCTCAATTCTTTAATAGATTCAAGAAAAGTGATGGATTATCAGCCTGTTGAGCCTTTTTCTTGATGTAAAGATAGGAGTATGTATATAATGTAAAGACAAGCTCTTTACAATTCAGGGCCGAAATTGGAAGCTGCAGGACATTTTGACATGAATTATTTGATAGCACTTTTTTATTCTGGATGCTTTTTGATACTGCACCCTCCAAAGATAAAAGTACCCTCTTTTCTTATTAAATGATGTATGCCCTGAATTCCACCGAGCTCACTGCTAGCCTCAACCCCACTTTATCCCAAGCTTCTCTCCCCTTTTTTTGACCCTCATTTCAAATGGGAGTGGGGCTCAGGAATGCACCCACTATTTGATGATCAAAAAGCTGAAAATAACCTCACAAAATGGTCCTGGTAAAGTGACTGCATCAAAACATTACGTACTCAGGAAAACACAGGTTCAAATTTAAATGTTATAATCCAGCAGTTTTGTTTTTTTTTAATGGAAACGACCTGGTTGAGATTGGATTCTGCCTTCTCTATCCTCACCTCAAATCTCATTTTCTTGCCCCTTAACCATTTAATCACTTGGGCCCAATTCCTCTCCAGACCTGAAGCTCTTTATCAGTACACAACACAGTATTACCTGAGCCTCATCCTGGAGCAGGTGTGTGTGTGTGGCCTTACCCATGAAGAGAAGATTAGTCCCTTGGCATGGATTTCTCTTCCTTTTCAGTAATATAATCATAAAAATGAGTCAGACATAGTGAGCATGTAATATGGTCCAAAACTGTGATGTTTGCCTTATATATGGCTTATCTTATTTATTCCTCACTATTACCCTTTGAAGTAAGAAAACTACGGGTCAGAGAAAATAAGTGACTTGCCCAGGGTCATGTAGCTTGCTTATGGTAAAGGCAGGATTCAACCCGAAATCTGTCTGATTTAAATTAGGTGCTTTCCCTGTCTGCTGCTCTCAGAGGCAGAACATAGCATGTAATAAATACCACTAGTCTTCTTATCTCCAACGTGGGAACAGCTATTTGCAAGTCTAGATGAGGCAGATAATCCAGGTATTCCTGCACACAGCCAATCGTCTCTCACTAGCCGTAGCTCCCTGAGGGGGCAGACTGTCTATAACCATTTAGTACTGAGTGTCCAACACAGTGGCCCTGATAAAGCAAAAATGCATTGACAAAAATGAAGAAATGAAGCAGCAAATAGCTCATGAGCCTAGGAAAAGAAAGGGAGGGAGGAGAAGAGGAATAGAGGCAGGGAAGGAGGGCCTCACAGTGATTACTGCAATAGAAGAACCTTTCCAGGCATCATACAGCCCTGGCATGGTCACTAGTATCATACTTTGCACTCCAGTGAGGCAAGGACCATATTGGTCTTTTTTTTTTTTTAATTTTATTTTTATATGCCCCATACAATTACAACCCCTTTATTTTGACCCCAATCCCTCCTTTCCCCACTCCCACCCCCCGTAGAGTGTCTCTTGTTCATAGTTGTTTGTTGATTTTGATATTTTCTTTCTTATAGTTATTCTTTTTCCCGAAGGACCATATTGGTCTTATTCATCACTCAGTTACCAGCTAAATTAGCACCTGCCTGCCACACAGTAAATTTTCAATAATCTTTTGTTCTTTCTGAGGGACTTGCCAGAGGCAGTCCCTTCAAGAACAGGAAGTCCTGCCCTCTGGAGAGTGACTGACCATGGTCATCTCCACTGCCCATGGCTTCCTGCCTGACGTCGCCCACTTAGCCCTGGGTGCTCCCTCTTCCCAGAGCACACATTTATTATCACAAGTGTCATTCTCCTTTTTGTTGTTGTTGTCGTTGTTACATTTTAAAATCCCTTCAGCTTTATCCACATCATCACTGGTATTTTCCACACTTCACCCTTTCACAAGGAGAAATGCATGACACTAACTCTAAGTTGTTGTTTGTTTTTTTTTAACTGACATTAGGAAATGCTGTCCAGGTAGTTGTAGGCACCGAAGTTTAACTTCTTCCAGGCCCCATTCTTCACCCCACACCTCTGCCTGTTCTTCCCTGAGTCTGCTGAGCTCTACCAGGGAAGCAGAGTGAGGGAGCATGGGTCCAATCCGAATTAGGATTCAGCTCCGTCACCATTGGGAGGGGCTTAGACACCATCTGCCTTCAGAGAGGAGAGTAAGGAAGTATAGGTAACTAATCCTGGGCCCCGTGCAGACAGGCCCAGAGGCCTCCTACTCTGCCTCTTGGCCCAGTGCCCCCAGAGGTCAGGCACGGCTGCCATCTTCATATTAGCCCTCCCATCAGGGCAAGGGCAGACACCCAACAGCAGCTGCCACTTAGACCACATTATCACCCTTTTGGGTTTTTTGTTTTATTTGGGGTTTTTGTGTGAGCAGCTCACCACCACCGCCTTCTGGCCGGCCCCTGGTAATGAACCCCAGCACAGGCAGCCACAACAGAAACAAAGCAGGGCTCTGGGGTTTTAGAGCTAACCGCGCCCCCCAACACTGGAAAGCCAAGTTATGGTGTGAAGGAAGAAGATGTGGAGTGTGAAGCCGTGTTTAAAAAAAAAAAAAAAAAGCCACAGAGCTTGGACTTTCATCATAAGGATCTTTTTACCAAAGCATAATTTTAAAAGGCTGTGAAACTTTATGCAACGTTTGCATGGTTTAATTATGAGTTTAGAAAAGCCGAGCACAACTTTTTCACTCCAGTAAAACAAGACAGAGCTTGAACCGTGGCATAATACTTCAGCTTGCTGTGGGTTTAAGACATGGGGTTAGGGGTGCTTGACTGTCTACACAACAAGGCATGAATTGCTGCACCGCAATTCACACCCCACGGGGCTTTATGACAATTATAAAATTTCTTTTGTTTGCTTTTTAAATGATTACCATATTTGAGTCTTATATATTCACTTAGCCAATGGCTGTATTCAGAGACAGGCTGTATTTAGAGAAAATGTGGCTACTTTTTATTTTATTCAGAAAAAATACTTTAGTGATGTGAAAGAGTGAACGATTCAGGGCAGCTGCTCGCTGTCAGTTCCCGGGAACACTGTTACTTGTACTGGTCTTTGTCATTGTCATGGACATTTATGGTCTCCTGAGTTTAGAATGGACCAGCCCTCTTACCTCGTGCCAAGATTCTCCTCAAATCCTCTAAGGCTCAGAATGCAGTGAAGATTCTTCCTTCCTACCGGGTTTCATAGACTTTACATTAAAATGTTCGCTCAAGACTTTTCAAATTTAAAAAGGTCAGTAGTTTTAAAGAAAAGAATAGGAAGTGATAGACCATGATAGCTCCGTGTAAGGGAAGGGGTGGGGGGTACTCTTAGAAGACTGAGGAGGAAGATGTGGGTCTCTAAGTGGCTCATTCTGTCGTCCACAGTGACAGCTTCAACGACATGAACAGAAAAGGCAAACTTCCACAGCTGGAAAGAGGCCCTGGAGGGAGCCGATCTGAGTATTTTACCATGAGTGGGAATAACTCACTTCTTTAGGTCATGGCACCTACAGAGCTTACAGATGGGGTTTTCCTAAGGAGCTTTGCTCCTTCTAGATTCACTGCCATGGCCAGGAAGCCCTTGGGATTAGCAGTTTGGACGCCTCTTTACCCACAAAGATGGTACACAGAGAAAAGTCGTGTTTCACCCAAAAGACTGGAAAGCTCACCGGGGGTGGGACAGTGTTTAGTATCAATTTCCTCAACACTGTGCCTAAGATAAGAGGGTCCCCCCACCCCACCCCGCTTTTCTTCTGCAAGCAGTGCAATGCTTTTGACAGCAAGACTCCTAGAAGCAGATGCTGGAGTCCAATGCACAAACCCTTTTTGCCTAAATCTTCTCTCCACTGAACGGCCGCCTATGAAACACCCGGCCAACATGCCGCCCTTTACAGTGACAGGACCCCAGGAGCGGACGGCCTGTGAGGGAACCCGGGACGCCAGGGCCACTGTCTGTGTTCAGCCAGGGTGGAGAGCCGGTCACCAGGCCTCGGGGCCAGCTTCCCAGCCAGACCTGTAGAGAAATCACTGAAATAGGAAGCACTGAATAGCTTGTGGGCTGTTTGGCCAAAGGGACACAAAAGTAACCAAACACTACGTCCCTCTTGGCTCCCAAGGACAGGCAGGCGGGGTCTGTGAACTGTCGGTGGAGATGGTAGCGGTCCAGGCTGCAGAGCTGGGGCTGGGGGGCAGGCGGACAAGCTGCAGACCCCGTCCGAACTAACACTGCCAGGCGTCATCAGCGCCTCCGGCCATCATGGGTGTGATGAAAACCCTCATCGGGGAGAGTCAGCAGAGGAGACCTTCAAGAATCAGACATGAACCGTATCTCAGTGTGGGGCAGGGGGGCAACATCAAACAAAAGCAAATGCTTGGATTCGAATGTAGGCTATGAAACACCGGTGAACAGGCCACAGGCAGGCACGCCACAGCATCAAGACTCGCTTCTCACTAGAAGGCGGTACTTTGAACCCCCAGCCTGCTCCCATCTAACTGACGCCCCCTGATTCTCCGCAGATACAAGGCAGATCCAGCCGTCCCCGCCCTGGACCTACGACCAGTCATACCAGTACCTGGGCCCCATTGCCTCCCCCTCTGTGCACACGGCCACACCCATCTCGCCCGGGCGGGCCAGCGGCATGACCACCCTCTCCGCAGAGCTTTCCAGCCGACTCTCAAGTAAGCTGCTTGCAAACATACTCTGTGACGTGCGGCGAGTGTAGATGGTTGCAGAGACCGGCAGAGATGTGTGAGGGGGTGGCGGTCATTTTCCATCGTTTACATGGGCTCTCAGGGCCAGGGGGCCTGTCTCGAAGCTCCCTGCCCAGCACTGATTTTCCTCGGCTGATTAGGGAGGTGGAGGCAGGAGTGGCTGGTTAGCAGATTCCAGGGTGGTTGGGGCTGCTCAGGTTTCTCAGGCCAGGGTGGCAGCTCAAGGGCTAACAGTACAAAAGTGCGAAGTGTCACTTCTAGGACTCAGGGGGGACGGGTCCATCAGGCCGGTGGCGGTGGGCTTACGGCGAAGAGCTTACGAAGAGCCGGGGGGTGACAGGCAGATACACCCCAGGTGAGACGTTTCCAGCTGCAAGCTGTTTGTCGGTCCCGGGTTAGAGCAGCAGCGTGGAAGCTCTGCTGTGGTGGTTAGCGTAATTGTTGTTAATACGAGCTCATTAAATATTAGTCATTTAACCTATGAGACCTTGGGGCTTGGCACTCACCTTGCTCATGGGCAGGGAAATCAGAGTTAGAGAGAAAAATTCCTTTGTTAAGAGCAAAAGAAGAAACTCCCTGTTTGGGGCTTTGAAATTGGAGCTGGACCAAGCTGAGGAAGCACCGGCAGGGCTGTGGCTGTGGCTGTGGGGAGCCGCAAACATGCTGCCCGTGCGCTGTTGTGGGGTGGGGGAGCTCTGAGCGCAGCGCTGGCTTGGCAGCCGTGGGCTCATGCGATAGTGAGTTGGGGGCCCATGGGGCGCAGTGACATCCTGTCCACTGTTCCAAATGCCGTGTCATGTTGTGTTGTGCCGCCAGTTGTGATTTCACCCAGGCATCCACTGCTCTGCCACACTGTGCCATGGACATGGAGGGCCAGTGAGCCTCTGGGGGGCCTGTCCTGGCATTGTAGGGTATTTAGCAGCACCTCTGCCTGCTCCACGATGCCAGTAGCACCCCAACCGTGCCAACCAAAGCTGTTTCCAGACATTGCCAACCATCCCATGGGCCCTAGTCGCAGACCACTGCCTTCATGGGCCCTTGGATGCTTTAGCCAAAGCGGGGTGCCCCCACGGTGGCCCAGTTTTCACATTATTTGTGGCCATTTGTAGGGGCAGGACTGGGCACAGTGCAGGTTTTCTGATCCCATGCAGCACAGAGTCCTCAGTGGGCAGGTCTTTTATTGGGGTTCACCAGGCATATGGCAGCTGCTGGCTGGGGGCTGGGAGCTCAGGAAGCAAATCTTTACTCTATCTGTGATGTCTGCTGAGCGTGTTTTTGCTGGCGTCCCCCCGTGAGCCGCCCTTAAGCTCTTAGTTGAATCCTCAGCCTGGGTTAGGCATGCATTCAACAAGACCATTGTATCCTGGCTTTTTTCTTTATTTAATGACAAGTCCATGGCAGTGGGGTGAAGGAGCACAGCCCGTGATGTCTGCTGAGCCCACCTGGCCACACTTGGGCTTATTGTCTGCCCACCGGCCAATGAATGAATGCCTGTTTTCCTTGGAAGTGGTCCTGCTCTGGTTCTGTGGCTGGGAATTTATCAGGTCACCACCCAGGGTGGCCACCGGACAGTCCCCGGGGGCAGTGACGCTGACCAGCCGGTGTGTGGATATAAGGATTGCTTTTTTAGAGGAATGAGTAACAGTCAACACCCCCAAATCCCCAATCCCAGCAATATTTCCGGAAAACCTGGACTTCGACTGGCCAAGGAGGACATTTGTGGCCCAGGGTATGAAGGAGAAAAAAACCACTTCCCACTCCAGCACCCATGATGAGCCTCTGCTGTCTTGGAGGCAGGACCCACGAGGACCACAGAGAGCTTTCGCCAGGGGCAGAGAGCGCCCAAGAGGCAGTGCTTTGGCCTGCGAACTCCCTCTGAGAAATCCAGTGGCCAGCACAGGCCCCAGAGGTTGTCCTCCGCTCGGGACTGGAGGGGTTGTATCACAGAGAAAGCGGCAGCTTGGCTAGCCTGGACAACCCGACCCAGCAACCTAGCCTGTGCCTGCACTACCTCTAACCCTGCCCCGCCCCCAGCTCTGTGCCCCAGCCCCACCTGGGCCCCCTTCTGCAGGGGGCAGGGCAGGGGGCCTTGCACTGTCTGTCTCTTTCCTTTGCAGGCAGACTCCACACCTTGTCTGCAAAGAGTTGTCATCTGGAGGTTTTCTTTTCTTTTTTCTTTTTTTTTTTAAAAAATTAATGTTTAGCTGCCAACCTGGGAGACAGACAGCAGGCATTAATCTGAGTCATGCAAAAGATCCTTTTAAGGCGGCCATTATCTGCTGGGCTCTTTAATCCTTTGGGGGCAGTGGGAGGGGCGGCTTCACCCATGTCAGGCCGCAGAAAGAAGACATGAGCTGTCATGGCAAATATTTAGCCCCATCGGTGGGGAAACTTTTCCAACTAGCATACCTGAATGTGCTAATCCCCAGATTTCCTCTCTTTAAAAGCTGCTTGTGACTCTCAGGGGTCCCCATGTCCGCCCACACTCATACTGAATGAGGGGGCACCGGGCCCCTCAACAGGACAAAAGGAGCTGTGGCCCCCGGCGGGTGAATCGGACCTGACCCAGGGGGCCAGGCAGGGGATGTCAGACTGGGCAGAAATATGAAAGCAAATATTTGAATAGATTATTTGCATCTGGGCCTATCTAGAGGCTGCAGTTGTTTGGTTATGGAAATGTGTGGAGAGGACATCACTGCATCGAATGGGTGGTCTCTGGTGAGAGGTGGTCCCTGCTGTGTCGTCGGACGAGGGGCCCCGGGCCCTGCTGAAGATCCGTCAGATGTTCTGCACACAAGTCAAAGAAGCGTTTTGCCCCGGGAGTGGAGACCATCACGTCGTTCTGTTCCGTAGGCCTGCGACAAAGCAGGGCTCGCCGGGATTCCAGTAGCCAGGCCCCAGCACCACCCAGTAGTTGGAACAGACAGGCCGAGCGTGTCCAGACACCGCTGTGAAACAGGGTGACCTTTCATTCATTTTCCAGTGGATTCACCTTTTTTGTCTCAGGGCAAATGAAGCAAGAGGGATGACGGGCGGATCGGCGCTCTGCCTCCGATGACAACAGTTGATTGTGTTTGCCTAATGCGGCTCTTCCTACCTGGGCTTCTGCTGGACCGGAGGAACCTAAGCGGAGAAAGTGCAGCCAGGCTTCCTGTGAACTCTCCAACAGGCACAGCGCTCCCTCGGGAGGAGCAGAAGAAACAAGGGGCGCCCGCTTGCACGGGGCAGGCACAGGCCCCGCAGAGGGAGGGCTGGCTTCAGGACCCGCTGGAGCACCGCCATGGGGGGCGGCCCCCAAACCCGGTCCTCTCACAGCTTCTTCCCGGCCCACACGTCTGACTGTGACTGGCGGTGAAAAGATTAACAGCGTGTTTGTTTGAAAGTCAGGCTCCTGCTGTCCTCATTAGTGCACAGATCGGCAGCGGCCTTGGCTTGTGGCTGTAAACTGTGATTACCTCTGATGAGTACACCCCTCGTCGCCGGCACCCCAGATTTACAGAGGAGTTCATTTTAAAAAATGTGTAAGAGCAATTAAAAAAAAAAACACTAGCGGGTGGGGGGTGAGGAAGGTGGAGAAAGCACTAGCTCCCCGAGCTGGAATAATAGGTTTGAAATATGAGGAAGTTGATCAACGGCTGATACCTTCCAAAAACAGATTAATCCACCCCGGCAGCTTTCCTTTCAGAGCAAGCTTTTGGCTCCGTCCAGTTTCTCTACCAGCCTGAACACAAAAGGACACAGGCCACATGCCGTCCCGAGCTGGGAGTGATTTTCTGCGTGGATTTGAGAGCTCACCAATTTTGAACCATTTCCGTCTCGCCGGTGCCGTGGTGCGGCTGTCCTTGGGGTTTGCTGACGTGATGGCTGTGGTCCGAGGTCGGACTATTACTGAAAAATTCTAGGGGACAGAAGCGACCCCAGGACACATCCTATATCTACAGCTGGGGTTCTCAGATGGGGGTGGTCTGGCCCCCCACCCGACCCCCAGACACCCGGCAGTGTCTGGAGATATTGTTGGTTGTCACGGGGGGGGGGGGGGGGAGCAGGGGCACTACTGGCATGAAGTGGGCGGGGGCTAGGGATCCCGACAAATACCTCCAGTGCTCAGGAGAGCCCCCCACTGCCCCAACGAAAAGTACCTGATCCCAAATGTCAACAGTGCCAGTGCTGAGAAACTCTGATCCGCTGGACACTGGGAAAGCTTCCTGGCACTCAAGTCCCCTGGTCATCCCCAAGGGCAGCCTGTGCTTAAAAAAGATGCAGAGGGATGCGGCGCAGGACAGGATGGCTCCAGCCAGCGCGTGCAGCTGTCAGCGCGCAGACAGAGTGGGCCGAGGCGCAGGCGGTTTCGCCATTTCCGATACCACTAAGACTGTGTCGTTTGTAAACGTGAGGGCCTGGGAGAGGCAGACCGGGGGCAGAAGGAGTGGGCTTGATGCTCGCTGACCCACTCACAGTCACTGCTCTAGCCAGCCTTGGGGTCACACACAGGAAATTGCCAATTTTCAACTGTTCAAGGCCTACAAATACGGCGAGTCCCTATGACCCCACCTAAATATTACATATACCGTGTTATAATGTTATCTATTACTATTCCTAGGACACAGCAGGCCATATGGTATATAGTCGATTAATACTAATCTATTAACACCTCCTCGGCGTTAGTCATTATGTCCTGTTACAGTGTCCTGCATTGTGAGAGTGTACCCGCATCACAGATTAAACTTAGTAATATTGGCACAGGAATACACTGAGTATATAGAGGTTGGCAAACTTTGCTGCCAAGGGCCAGATAATAAATGTTTATACTTTCTGGGCCCCAGGTCTTGGTCAGCACCCCTCAACTCAGCAGCTGTAGCTCAAGAGCAGCCAGACCTCAAGCAACGAGGGAGGCTCAGGACAATCCCATTTTGTGAATGGTGATGCGCTCACTGGACTTTCCTATCGTTTTGCACATCGGGAACCATTATTCTTCCTTCATTTGATTTTTTTTTTCTATGATTTAAAAATGTAAAACATTCGCAGCTTGGGGACCATACAAAAAACGGCAGCAGCTCGTGGGTCTCAGTTTCCCAGTTACGGGGATTGGGCCATACATAGCTGCGTCATGCAAGTCCATACTCTACATGTCCATGTTACATTTATGTTATACTATGGCACGTGTACCAAGTAATACACGCCATCGGGTATTCTCATCTTCTGTTACTGTACCTCATCATACCCCCGCCCCTAGCAGGCTGGTCTGTCCCCACCTCCCTGGACCCTAGTTTCCTGGGTGGCCCCCACCTTCCTGAACTCTAGTTTTCTGGGTGGTCCCCACCTCCCTGACCCCTAATAGGTTGGTCTGTCCCCACCTCTCTGGCCCCTAGTTTTCTAGGTGGCCCCCACCTCCCTGGCCCCTAGTTTCCTGGGTGGCCCCCACCTCCCTGGCCCCTGGTTTCCTGGGTGGCCCCCACCTCCCTGGCCCCTAGTTTCCTGGGTGGCCCCCACCTCCCTGGCCCCTGGTTTCCTGGGTGGCCCCCACCTCCCTGGCCCCTGGTTTCCTGGGAGGCCCCCACCTCCCTGGCCCCTGGTTTCCTGGGTGGCCCCCACCTCCCTGGACCCTGGTTTCCTGGGTGGCCCCCACCTCCCTGGACCCTAGTTTCCTGGGTGGCCCCCACCTCCCTGGCCCCTAGTTTCCTGGGTGGCCCCCACCTCCCTGGCCCCTGGTTTCCTGGGTGGCCCCCACCTCCCTGGACCCTAGTTTCCTGGGTGGCCCCCACCTCCCTGGCCCCTACTTTCCTGGGTGGCCCCCACCTCCCTGGCCCCTGGTTTCCTGGGTGGCCCCCACCTCCCTGGCCCCTACTTTCCTGGGTGGCCCCCACCTCCCTGGCCCCTAGTTTTCGGGGTGGCCCCCACCTCCCTGCCCGCCAGCACCCAGCCCCGCCGCCCCGGGCTGGGCGGGCCTCCTGGGGGCGCCGAGGGCCCGGGGCCCAGGGCCGGCCCGGGCTCCCGCTCACGCCTTGTCTCCCCGCAGCGGCGCCCGACCTGACGGCCTTCAGCGACCCGCGCCAGTTCTCCGCGCTGCCGTCCATCTCCGACCCGCGCATGCACTACCCCGGCGCCTTCACCTACTCGCCCACGCCCGTCACGTCGGGCATCAGCCTCGGCATGCCGGCCATGGGCTCGGCCTCGCGCTACCACACCTACCTGCCGCCGCCCTACCCCGGCGCGTCGCAGGCGCAGGGCGGCCCGTTCCAGGCGGGCTCCCCGTCCTACCACCTGTACTACGGCGCCTCGGCCGGCTCCTACCAGTTCTCCATGGTGGGCGGCGAGCGCTCGCCGCCGCGCATCCTGCCGCCCTGCACCAACGCGTCCACCGGCTCGGCGCTGCTCAACCCCAGCCTGCCGAGCCAGGCCGACGCGGTGGAGGCCGAGGGCAGCCACAGCAACTCGCCCACCAACATGGCGCCCGCCGCGCGCCTGGAGGAGGCCGTGTGGCGGCCCTACTAGGCCCCGCGCCCGCGCGCCGCCCGCGGGCCCAGTGCGCGTTCGGGACCCCGGCCCGGCCCGGCCCGGCCTCCACCGCTCCCGCCTCAGCACCCGCCACCCCCGGCGACGGCCCCCGCGCTTCTGCAGCCGCGCCCCGTCTCGGAGCCCCGCGGGGACCCGCGCGAGGGTGTCCAGGTCACCGCCGCGAGGGAGCCCAGGTCACCACCGCCTGAGGGATCCCAGGTCACCGCCGCCCGAGAGTGCCCAGGTCACCGCCGCTCGAGGGAGCCCAGGTCACCGCCGCAAGGGTGCCCAGGTCACCGCCGCGAGGGAGCCCAAGTCACCGCCCGAGGGTGCCCAGGTCACCGCCGCGAGGGAGCCCAGGTCATCACCTGAGGGTGCCCAGGTCACTGCCGCGAGGGTGTCCAGGTCACCGCCGCGAGGAAGCCCAGGTCATCACCCGAAGGGTGCCCACGTCACCGCCGCGAGGGAGCCCAGGTCATCGCCCAAGGGTGTCCAGGTCACCATCGCCCAAGGGTGCCCAGGTCACCATCGCCCGAGGGTGCCCAGGTCACCGCCGCCCAAGGGTGTCCATGTCACCGCGCGAATGCGTGCAAGGCAAGCAGGAAGATTTCCAGAGGGAAACTGTGAATGCTTCTGATTTAGCAATGCTGTGAATAAAAGAAAGATTTTATACCCTTGACTTCACTTTTTAACCAAGTTGTTTATTCCAAAGAGGGTGAAATTGGAGGGGGTGGGGGTGCAACTCATCCTGTTTGGCATCGAATTCATGTTTTTAATTTCCTTTCCAGCACCTTATAAATTGCAAAATGCAGATTTGCATTTGGGGTGGTTTTTATTTTTATATATACAAATTTGAGCTTGCTTCTTTCTCGCTTTGGCAATTGAGAAATTGAAAGAAATACGAGTCTTTTTTTCTGTATGTTTTATTTAACTTTTCTTTTGGACTTTCGTGTCGTTGGGTTTTTTGTTCTTGTTTTTGAGAAACAGCAACAGCTTTGGGTCATTTTCAAACTACTGTATTCCATAAGGAATCCCTAGATATTTATACATCTTGATGTTTAGACACTTACTTATGTGTTGATACTTTTTTTTTAATTATTTAAATGTACTTATATTAAGAAGAAAAATATCAAGTACTACATTTTTTTTGTTTGTGATAGTAGCCAAAGTTAAATGTATCACATTAAAGAAGGCGGAAAAAAGGATGGATAATGTGGTCACTTGGTTATCTAAATGTTTACATTAAACTTCCTTTCATGTTTATCAAACGAGTTGGTAGCTAATGCAGCAATGGTTTTAACAGGCTGAGGGTCACTCCAAGGATCTGAAGTATAGAATTTTCTGCCCAGTTCAACAAAGGGTCTCACTTCATACAGAGAGAGAAGGTGGAATCCCGCTCCAGAGGGGCCGGGTAGAGCCTGGACCACCTTCGGGAGAGGGCTTCTTTCCTGCCTAGGGATTTGCTCACTCCTTGGCTCCTTGATCGTTTCCAAGACATGCTTTATAACGGAATGAATCCAAAGTGTGGGGGAGCAGGGCCCTCATGGGAACCCAATGAATGGATTTAGGGGTTCCTGAGCTGCTCCTTCCTGGAGTAGGAAAGAGATCATTTGCATTCAGAGTTGAGATGTTTTTTAGCTCCAAGAAGATCCTCCTCACTGACAGAGTCGCTGTTCATCCATGCAGAGCAAGACTTGTGCCTGACCCTGGGGGTGGGGGTGGGAGGAGCTAGACAGGTGCCTCCCACAGCCACATCCCCCCAGCTGGAAATTCTGGGGTGGGTCCAGCACAGGCAGGAAGGAGCCCATGTGCCTCCAGGTACCCCCAGTGGGGTCACCCAGGCGAGCATCACCCCACTGTGAGCGAGGCCCCCCAGCCCATGCTGCTCATCCACCACCCACTTTGTGCTGCTCCCACCAGGCTGAGACCCTTCCCGGGTGGGGCGTGTGCACTTTGACACACGCATCGGAGGATGGGAGAGGACCCAGTCGCTCTGGTCACAGCTGCACTTGGGGACGCCCAGTGTCACTGTGAGTTCGATAGCACTATTTCTGTTGGAGGATTTGGACAGAAGGCAGTTGTACAACTCCTAGATACTAACTGCTGATTTTTGACGTGTGTGCTCAAAGTGATCGGGTGGTTATTTAATGTACCTCTTAAATTAGTTGAAATGATTTCAGGTCAACTCTGAAGAGTATTTGAAAGCAGGACTTAAGAACAGTGTTTGATTTTTATTTTATAAATCTAAGGATTCAAATTAGAAAGATCTTTGGCTGCAGGCAGCAAAACAGCTGGAATTATTTAAAACAATTTGTATTTGAGTTTTCTTATATATATATATATATCTTGATTATTTGTTTTACACAGATGCAGTAGCACTTTGGTAAGAGTTAAAGAGAAAAGCAGTTTGTGTGGTCACGTTGTTCTTCTCTAGAAAAGAGCTAAAGCAGATCTTGGAGAAACTTCAGAATATTTCCATTTTCATTTTAGACAGAATTCTCCCTCCATCAATCAGTTTCCTGTTTTATTCTGTATTACATTTTTTTGGCAGCAAAATTATCTTCAAGTGTCAGTACCTTTAAATTTTTATTTCTGAAAAAGACCATTACCTCATTTGTCCCAAATTAACATAAGTGGTCTTTTCAGTACGTGCTTTAGGACAGATCTGACCTGAGAAAATGCTGTGGGGGGTGAAGGAAAACGCTGATCTCTTTCAGTTCAATTCCGCTACCCAAAGCTATTCCAACTCAGACACAGCCTAACACCCTACAGGAGGGTCAGATGATGTCTCACTCCGAATCATCACTCCCGAGGTCCCTTGAGGAACGCTGGCCCCTTCTTGTAAGTGGCCTGGTTTGGCCATTCAGGTTTCACAGACCCTTACCGACTCATTCCAGAAAAAAATGAGTCAAACCTTCATCTTGCCAGCGAGGTCTCACACTTCACACATTTCCCCTGAGGAATAGCACGCATTGCCCTCAGGTAAATAGGGCTGCCCTTCCATCTGGGAGTCCCCTAGCCAGGGAGAGACCGGCCATGCATCTGGGAGGATTGTGCCAGAAGAAGGATTAAACAGGCCAATTCTACTGCTTATTCCTCCTACCTTATCTATTATTTTGACATGGACACATTTTTCAGTTCTTTTTTCTTGCTCAAAAAACCCGTGTTCTCCCTCTGCTGCCCCATCTCTCCCTCCGTCTCTCCTCTCCGGCCTCCACAAACCCCTCCTCCACCTCCTGCTCTCCACAAGCAGACAACACCCCTCCCCACATGAATGTCAGAACAGGGAGCTGTTCCTCCTGTCCTTCAAGGATGTGTGAGTCAGCCTCTCTCCTGCCCGCGGGTTTCTCCGAGTGGAGCAGAGCCGTGGCCACGGTGTGGGTGTGCACGCTGTCCAGAGGCCGCCGCGGACACCTTCCTGGGCCGCCTTTCACCAGAGAGTTCAGACATCACCTTGCTGCTCCCAGGGGCTGCCATGCACATGCACAGAAATGCTTTGCTGAAAGGAAATGAACCGCTTCACGCAAATGTCCTGCCATTTTGGACGGCAGATTTCTGTCTTGAAATACCGGTTTCCTTGGAAGTTCTGTCCTGGGATTTTTGGGTTTTGGGTTATTTTGGAGGATGACATGTTTGGGTTTTCATATAGGAAAAATCGGTTGAAAAATAATCTCAGAAAATATTTTTTACATCTGAACAAAATGCCTTTTTGTTTACCTACAGTATACAGTTGTTGCTTTTATTTTATTTTTTTCTTTTTGGAGGGGGTGTGTGTTTTTGGCATTTTCCCCCTTCGCTTGCGCCAGGTCAGTATTGATGAGGCTGATCATTTGGCAGTTGTTGGTTGTTGTTTTTTTCCTTCCTGAAGAGTTGCATCAATAAAGTTAATTGTATTTATGTATGTAAATAGATTTTAAACTTCATTATAAAATATTGTTAATACCTGTAATAACTTTTTTTCAATTTTGTGTGTGCGTTTCTAAGAACCTTTTTCTTGTGTTTGCTCAATACTGTAGACAATAAAAATGCTTCTTTCTACTTCAGTTTATTTTAGACATAAAAACTTTTGTACAGAGCTAATGGCATGGTTCCAGTTTTTTTAAGTTCACCTTTTTGTTCCGGGGAAAACATATGTGCAGAAACAAAAACTGTTGGTTGGTTGTGCTATTCTGAATGTATAACAATCAATCGGGAAAAATAAACTTCCAAACTGAAATGCCAGTGTAACACAGCTCTTGAAAACGGAACCGTGGCAACCCGCCCTCCAGTCCCCGGCCCCACCCGGGCTCCCTCTATGCAGCAGTTCTGGGGGCTGTTCACCCAGCCCTGACACGGGTGCCTGGCGTCTTTCTCCCCCTGCTGACATGGGGGGCCCTATGTCAATCTCCAGTTTTAAAGCAGCTGTGACAGGAGTGGACGCCCCATAGCCCCTCTCCCAGGAGCCTCTGAGAGGCGTTGAGCACATTCTCTGCACCAGGTCCACGCAGGCAGGGCGCCCCCCCGCCCCAGGTGCTCCCGGGGCCCCGCCTGCGCAGGGACCTGCTGCTGCTCACGACCCACAGCAGCTCGCTTTTGTTGTACCACTTTCTTCTGTGAATCCAACAGTATATCTAGCGAATGGCAAATAAACAGTTCGGCAAGTACCTACAGCACTGCCAGTTGGTTTTGTCTTTCTCTGAGCTGGGGGGCTGGGAAGCCCCTGCAGCACCCAGAACTGCCTCCCCCCAGCAGCTCCTTGCTGGCCTGTGGACTTGAACTGAAGCCCACCCTCTCCCGCCACACCGGCCTGGGGGGCTGAGTTCTGGGAGGCCCAGGCTCCCTGCGCGCTGCCTCTCTGGGAAGGAGAAAGCACGCGTTCATGCTTGCAGGGGAAAAGGAAAAAACCAGGAATGACCTGAGTTTGCCAACACAGACTGGAAAGGGCGCAGGTGTGCGGGAGGGTAGTCACTTGGTGTCTGCAAGCAGCAGGCTTGCCCGGTGGTCGGGGCGCTTTCTAA